GGACAGAGGGTCTCAGGTAGAACAGAGGGTCTCAGGTAGGACAGAGTGTCTCAGGTAGGACAGAGGGTCTCAGGTAGGACAGTGTCTCAGGTAGGACAGTGTCTCAGGTAGGACAGAGTGTCTCAGGTAGGACAGTGTCTCAGGTAGGACAGAGGGTCTCAGGTAGGACAGTGTCTCAGGTAGGACAGTGTCTCAGGTAGGACAGAGTGTCTCAGGTAGGACAGTGTCTCAGGTAGGACAGAGGGTCTCAGGTAGGACAGTGTCTCAGGTAGGACAGTGTCTCAGGTAGGACAGAGTGTCTCAGGTAGGACAGTGTCTCAGGTAGGACAGAGGGTCTCAGGTAGGACAGTGTCTCAGGTAGGACAGTGTCTCAGGTAGGACAGTGTCTCAGGTAGGACCGTGTCTCAGGTAGGACAGAGGGTCTCAGGTAGGACAGAGGGTCTCAGGTAGGACCGTGTCTCAGGTAGGACAGAGGGTCTCAGGTAGAACAGAGGGTCTCAGGTAGGACAGAGGATCTTAGGTAGGACAGAGGATCTCAGGTAGGACAGAGGATCTCAGGTAGGACAGAGGATCTCAGGTAGGACAGTGTCTCAGGTAGGACAGAGGGTCTCAGGTAGGACAGAGGATCTCAGGTAGGACAGTGTCTCAGGTAGGACAGAGGGTCTCAGGTAGGACAGAGGATCTCAGGTAGGACACTGTCTCAGGTAGGACAGAGGGTCTTAGGTAGGACAGAGGGTCTCAGGTAAGAGATGAAGGTGATGGACAGGTGTGAAGGAAATATAAAATGTTATTTTCAGTACATTCTAGTCAGCTGTGTGAACTTAATGAAATAAATTACTGATGTAAATAAATAAAAAGTTATAGGTTTGTTACTCTCATTTGTAGGAAGTTGTAGAAATTAGTTTTCATAATTCAGATTTTCCTGTTTAAATAAAACTCAGTAAATAAATCAGTCAATCATCCATCATTAGTTTTATAATCAAACATCCATCAGTTGTTCCTAATTTACCTGCAGGTTGATGAAACTGACACCAGTTATTTTTACATCACTGTTGTTTGACACAGTGTTAGTTTATGTTGTGAAGAAAACTGCATGATGTCATCATGTCAGTTTATGAGTGGACCTGTCATCAAATCAGAAAAAAGTCAAACTCCCTAAATTCACTGTTAGTTATTATCATAATTACACCTGTTTATTAAATAAAGTTATTAATGATTTTAGTTTGGAACATGCAGTTGTGTGTCATCATTATTTGGTACAATATGTTGTGTTGTAAATAAAATTAAATGAATAATAAACAAAATGAATGTAAAAAAATCTCCTCTGAGCCTGTTTGTGATAAATTATCACATGAATTTAATTCTCTGAGCCATGAGTTAGTTTAAAAACAGGACGATGTAACTGGTTTAATGAAGAATCTGTCTCTAATTAAGTCTTTATTTGTGTAAGTAAAAGTGTCTTTAACCTGTTAGAATACATTAGAAATCAGGAAATAGCTTCTACTTTATTCAAAATTTTCTGGGGGAGGACCCCCAGACCCCCCTCCTGTGTGTCCTTTACACACATTACAAGTTTCCTGATGCTCCTGTTAGAGAGGATAAACACACCTGTGGAGCCCCACCTGTGTGTCTCTGGCTGATGGCTGATTATTAAACTGTAGTCTCAGTGAGTTTAAAGAGCTGATACACTACATGGTTTAATGAAGGTGAAAATAATCTCAGTTAATCTGGTCTGACTGTTACTGCATCACAACAGAAACATTTGGTGCTCAGTTTATGACGTGTGCAGACAGTTAAACTGAGCACACGTCATGTACCAAATGTTTGTCTAAAGTTCAAGAATAAATGTTTTTAAATCAAAATTTGCTCGAGTGTCATGGATCACAACATCAGTACACAAACCAGATGTAGTAAAAAGTTTCAGGTATTTGAGCACAGGTAGGCCGAACGCATCCATTCAGCTGGTGAATGAAAGAACCACTCATCAATATAATCTGATCTGATTGTAGTTTAAAACATTAGTTATGCTTCTTTATTTAAAATAATAACCCCTTTTTAATTTTTTTGCTTATGCACCTCGTGCACCGGCATGGATAGAGGCCCACTGACATCCAGAGTGCACAGGGCCCAGAATCTGGTGCTACAGCCCCCCCTGACCACAGTCCAGGTCAGCAGCTCCCAAACCAAGCTCAGCCTGGGACTAAACCTGCATGATGTCTGTCTTCTGTGTCCAGACCTGGACACTGAAAAAGATTGTTGAAAATTTACACCAAAATTAATAAAACATCCATCATGACCTCATAGATCCATCTTCTTCCTCCAGTTTGGTCCTGGTGGAAACAGGTCCAGGAGGGAAACCCAGTTTCAGTAACACTCGGAGCATTTAATGAATTATTACTTACCCTTTTTCCAGTTATTACCTGCAGTTATTTGTATTGTTTCTTTTGTATCTTTATTGGTTAGTTCTGTATTGATTGATTGATTACATACTTTATTAATC